ATTTTTCCTAATAATGTAGTTCCTACATGAGTGATTGGAACTCTTTAACCATTAAGAATCTTAATGTTTTTAACAGGACCAGCATATTTCTCATAAAAATTTAGATATTTCAAATCACTCATGTCACTCCCTAAAAATAGGGGTAACCGGCACAGGATGTGAACCATATCATACATTCCGTAAGCCACAAATTTAAGGTTTACTTCATTTAATTAAAATGTACTCAGTTTTACACTGACATTTTAATACTATTAATACAAATCATTATAATAATTATTTCAACATTTTGTAAAAATTTTGACAGAACCTCATCTGTAAATAAAATCTCCCAAAAATTCTGTATCACAAAAATTTTTCTTGAACATTATATCCATCAGAAGCTCGGCTCCTCCCAACCAGTAGACAAAATGTATAATAAACTAAAGACTCTAATTATAAATTATGTGGAGCCCCTAGTCATATATCTCATCACATAATACATAGATTCCATATTTACATCAATAAGACATATTTACAGAACAAGTCTTCATTCTGTTTCGCAAACATCCATCATTAGTAGGCAAGACATATAGCGTCAATTGTGCTATTTGAGACTAAAATAATTTTTCAATGAATAACGTCCCAATAATAAATAATTGAACATAAAATAAGAGAAATTTAAAGCAATTATGTAAGTTAAACAGATAACGATTTTTAATAAAAAATATTTTAATAAATTTTGAAATAAAAGAAATTTAATATAACTTTAAATAAAATCTTAAACCATTTAATTTCAAATCAAATGTCACTATCACTTGCTTTCAAAGAAGCAAATAAATAAAATAAATAAATATTAGATAAATTACTAATTAAATCCAACAAGATACAAAATCACCAAGTAATCAAATTCATAATTATAAAGAGTTATCAGAACAATTAACAAACGTGGATATATAGTCTACGAGGATAAATAATCCAAATGCGGCTTGTGCCATGAAGACAAACGTGGACACACAGTCCATGAGGGTAAGTAACCAAACACAGTTAAAGCCACGAAACAAATGTGAACACACAATCCACGAGGGTAATACTAACCAAACATGGCTCAAAGCCACGAAAACAAACGTGAGTACGATGCTCACAAATAACCATCCCTCCATTTCACATGCGTTGGCCATCGAACGAGGCTAGCATCTCCTATAAACACCCTACTAGTTAGGTATACCATGGTGTGCCAAGGGCTAACGAAACTGCCGTTAGCAACCAGTGCTTTGTATAAAGTTCCTTTTTAAAACTATTTTCAAACATGTGAGAAATTGATCGCCATTCAATCAAATTTTTCTTTTCAATGTCGAACTAGCATGAATCATTTTTCCATAACAATTCAATAATTTTCAAATTGAAATCTCACAATTAGAATTCAAACTTGTATCTACTGATAAACTAAAATGATCAATTCTGATAAAATAATTTCATGAAATCAAGTAATTTAATCAACAAAATATCTCATAAGCACATTGTTGTCATAAAAAGACTTTGCATAAAAACATAATATTTGAATAAAGAAGATTTTAATGAAATATCAGTTGAGACGCTATCCACTTACCTGTCAAGCTTCCAAAATCCAAAGTCCCCCCCCAGTTTTTTTTTAAACTTCTAAAAAGTTGCTCCTCATCTCAACACCCTATAAAACTATATATATAAAATTAGTTAATGACCTTTACTCATCTCACACAAATTCCCTTCCAAAGTTAACTCAACTAGTAGTTAAGTACAACAATTTTAGAATGTCTTGAGACCATAATCTACACATAAATATTTTTTTCTAGTATTTAGTCATAGTTAATAACCTAATTAGAATCTAGTCTCTCTTAAGCCTTTTTACAAATACCTCAAGTGTATCCATGTTCAAACATATACTATCCCTCTTTCGCTCTAATTCCCTTTTCTAAAAGTTTTTCTATAACAATAATTTGAACTAATCAAACTTCCCAACATCCACTAAAGAGATTAATTGTCTTCTAATAATTGTTTAATCAACAACAATATATGTACTGCACATATCTTGCCATCATATGTCCAAACTCACACTTAAACATTTTTTTTCAAATACCTCACAGGCCTTAATCCTCAAACCAATATTAATCTTCCTTTTTATTCAACACTTTAATTCATCAAATTTTTTAATTATTATATATATATATATATATATATACCTCCATACAAGCCACTGTCAAGCTCAGGGAAAGGATCAAACTCTTATCCAACTTAATCAATAGCAACCAACAACAATTAACTAACTTATAAATTGAAGTAAACTTAATTTATCACTTTTTTTTCATACTCCTACGGCAGCAAAGAAAGGAGAGGAACAAAAAAATTTGAACCTTATTCATTAACACATCTATACCCAGGATCAGACTAAAGAAAGGAGGAGGCAAGATTCACTCACCTAACAATTAAAGAGGGGTGAGGGAGTGATTCAAGCTTTTATGGCTAACCATGAGCACTGTAATGATGCAGAGACAGGGAGGCACAGGTCAACAGTAATATGAAAACAAAAGGAGAGTCCCTAACCTTAATGGAATCCCTTACAGTGGTGGACGATGGTGACTCTAGTAGCGATGGTGTCTCTAGCAGCAATAATGATGAACAGACAAGCCCAATAGTAACTAATGAAGAAGAACGACTAGCAACAAGAAGCAGGGGAAAATGGCGTACCGATCTAGAACAAGGAAAGGAAACAAAACAGAAGCCACGAGCTGGTTGGTCAGCGGTGGACAGAGCAGCGGCACCTATGTTGATGACGGTTGGCCACGAAGGGGACGAAGGTAAAGGCGTAGCAGAGGATTGAAGAATGGCTGGGTTAAAGCTTCTTTTCTTTCTCTCAGATCTTCTTGAAAAATCCAATAAGAGAGTGTAAATTTTTTATCAAATTGATGAGGGGCAATTTAGTAATTTTACAAACAAAAAGCAAGAAAATGAAATTCCCTTGCCTTCATCATATTTGAAAACAAGACCTGTTACCTAAGATTTATGCCATCTTCCACTACAATAACAGCCCTTCTAGTGATAAATATTTCGAAGACTAATATTATTACTATTAAAACACAAATTTATATATTTAATTTTACTTCAATTCTTGGGTTATTACAACTCACCATGTGAGTGGTGGCATTAGAATCTAAAATCTAATGTATTCTAAATTTTAAACCATAAAAGTTTTGTAAATTTGTGTTGGTAAGTGCATGAACAGTAGGCTCTGAGTCCTTTTTCAGCATTTGAAGTATCTGCTCATACTATTCTTGAGTAAAGGTAGGCACCATAATCTGTTCTGTTTTATTAGCCCCATTAGCAGCTTCATTTTTCACTTGACTTGATCTGTTCTCTTGAGAGCATTTGTTCTTATTTCCTTGAAAATATCTAGAAACCCAATTATCTTGTAGCAACTCTCCCTAAGGTGTCCACATTTATGACAATGGAAACACTCTAATGATGAGTTACTACGTCCGTAATCCCTTTCATATCATTGTCCTCTTCCTATAGCCATGACACTTCCTTCAATTAGAGACATCTTGCTTGATCCAGCAATAGTTCTTTGAGTCTTGTCTTTCACAATCATATTATAAGCTTGGTTTACAGAGGGAAGGGGAGACATGAGAAGAATCTGACTTCTTGCTTGGCCATACGACTCACTGAGCTCCATAAGAAATTGCAGGAGACGATATTGCAAGACTAAATCAGCATAGGCCTTAGAAACATCACATTTACAGGTTGGAATGGCGATTAATGTTGATTGTTCTTCCCATAATTCTTTCAACTTCATATAGTAGGCTAAGACAGATATAGAACCCTAAACGAGGCAATTGATCTCACGGTGTATGGCAAAGATTCTTGATCCAGTGACCTTATCAAACCTCTCTTTCAGATATGTGTACACATAAAAGGCGTTTTATGCCTATGCGAGTTCATTTGCCAGATCCTTTAACACCGAGTTCAGCAGCTAGGACAAAAACACAGCATAACATCATTCCCATTGTGGACGAAGCAATGGTTCTTTTGATTCCTTTGTGTAAGTGCCGTCAATAAAGCTTACCTTATTCTTGCCAAGTAATGCAATCTTCATGGATTTGCTCTAAATCGTGTAGTTTTTTAGTCCAGTAAGGATGTGAGGAACAAGAGACGCGGCTTGTGTGTCTGAGGGATGCAGGTAAAGGCAAGGAATGAAATCAATGATGCTCCCCCTGTTCTTATCTTCAGCCATAGTTGGATCCACAGTGGTTGAGAAGTTTTCCATAATCGATGGAAAGAAAAGGATGAATCAGTGACAAACGATGAGAAGGATTAGGGCATAATCAAAGGAAATACATAATGAAAAAGATGATTTCAAAAAACTTTCGTGAGACTTCAGCAATACACCACTCGATTCTATTCGTTTTGTATATGTCAAATGGCCTTTTGAATCTGCAAAATTTTTAAGGCTTGTGGATTCGATTTCTTAGTTACCTGGTCTAATTTTTATAGACTTGAGTACAAGGTCTTGGAAGAAAACAAAGCTTGGACGGAAGACTCAGGCTCAATTCTTGAAAAAAGAACCAATTAGAATTCTTTATTTTCAAGGGCCACACAAACCTTGCTCATGATACCATGTTGATAATAGGTGGATCACTTGATAAGGCCTATGTAAACATTACAATACTATTTGACTTATTGAAAAATACTTTTTCATTATTGAAATAACCTGATACAACATGTGTGTGTGTGTATATATATATAACAAATTGAAATAGACAATAAATGGCTTAACTAACTAACACCACCACACAAAACGACATGCATATAAAGACCTATGTATCCTCAACAATCATTAATAGTACGATGCGGAACACATCCCATTAATTCTAATAGTCATTTTAGCGGTAAGGGGTTAAATGTCAAAATATGCAAGTTGAGGGTATGATTTTTAACCTATTAAATATGAGGAAAGTTAAATGCAATACAACAAGAGTTTATGGGTATTTTGGCCTAATTTTAAAAAGGAAAACGGAAGGAAAGTCACACTGACATGGGATTATTGAGAATGTGGTTGCTGGCGCTGGTGCTGCTGTGCTCAGCTTCAGCAATAACGAGCCAAACTCAGCACCTTACCGAGGAGTTGTTAGAGTCGGCGAAGGAGCCTACTTTCTTAAACTGGTTGCGACGGATACGAAGGAGAATCCATGAATATCCGGAGCTCGCCTTTCAGGAATTTCAGACGAGCCAACTCATTAGATCGGAGCTCGATTCACTCGGCGTCCAATATTCATGGCCGATCGCCACCACCGGCATCGTCGCTTCCATTGGTTCCGGCGCACATCCCTGGGTTGCTCTTAGGGCAGACATGGACGCGCTTCCTATTCAGGTTGTCCCCCTTCTGTTCTATTTCTCGTTTTAATTAACTTCATATTTTTTTAACACGGCGCTTCCTTATCATTTTTACTTTTATATTGAAAACCTTCATAATATTTTTTCATAGTTTAAATGGCTGTCTACCTCCATGCGCTCGGAAACTTTCCTTCTCAACAACAGGGAGGGGAAAAGAAATGGGATAAAAGAATCTTATCTCACATTGCATCATATATTTTCGTGAGTCTTGTATGATTAGAAGGGGCACTCAATCTGTTAATGGTGCTAAATGTTGAAGGAAATTGGGCTTTTTGGGGGTCTCTAATGCCCCAACCTCCAACTGTTCTTTTTTCTTTTCTTTTGATCATTAGAGGATGGGGAATTAGAGGCCTCAAGCCTAGGAAATTGAGTTCTAAGAAATTGATAGTTCTTGCAGCTGGTTTATCTGACATCAAAACATCTCATTGTTACAAGGCGAATCTATTTCAAACCTATTTATCCCCTGTCATTTATTTGATAATCTGAGAACTATTGAAATCTAATTTGAACCTTGTAATTTCTCTCGTATGTTACCAGTTTATTAGGAATAAGAAAAGAAATTGACCAAATGATTTACTGGAATGAATTATGATTGGGAAGGAAATGGTAGAATGGGATCACAAGAGCCGAAACAAAGGCAAAATGCATGCATGTGGCCACGATGCTCATGTGACAATGCTACTAGGAGCTGCAAAATTACTCCATAGCAGGCGACACCAATTGAAGGTATGTATTCATATAAGCACTTTCCTCCACCTATATATATATATATATATATGTATGTATGTATGCATATCAATGTGAAGCATAAAAAAGTATGAATACTCTAGCCTCGAGGGCATTTTTGTTTTATTTTGGAAGGGCACAGTTAAACTGGTGTTCCAGCCAGCAGAAGAGGGCAAAGGAGGGGCATATCAGGTTCTAAAAGACAGTGCCCTCCATAACGTCCAAGCTATTTTTGCCTTGCATGTTTCTCCACGAATACCAACTGGCACCGTCGCTTCCCGACCTGGCCCTATTATGGCTGCCTCTTCCAGATTTCTAGTCACAATTCAAGCCCAACTAGGAGGAGACCCTATACTAGCAGCTTCTATGGCTATACTTGCTCTCCAATTTATTGTTTCACGAGAAATTGACCCGTTAGAAGCCAAGGTACCATACATAATATCCGTCTTCCAATTTGACTGCTCAATAGTTTGGATCCTTCCAAATGTTTATATTTATAATTGTAATAGATCAGATTCTTGATAACCAGGCTGCTACCAACTGGCAAGTTGTCATGGTACGTAATAGCAGAATCCTGTTGTTAAATTAAGACTAAAGTTTATTGTCGGCTCATTTGAATACTGTTATAGGTGATATCGGTTGGATTCATCAAGGGTGGAGTGGCAGATAACGTAATTCCTGAGGAGGTCCAATTTGGAGGAACTTGTCGAACGTTCACTTCAGAACAACAATCCTACATTCAACGAAGAATTCAGGAGGTATATATATCCCATGTTATTTTCCATTTTATGCAATCGCATATACACGTGTGTGTGTGGGTGGATATTGGACAGTTAAGAAGGCAGAACGACGCGTATACTTACAGGTGATAGAGATGCAAGTAGCAGTGATGAAGGGATGCTCGGCTAGGGTGGACTTCATGGAGGAGACAATGAGGCCTTATCCTCCAACCATAAACGACAATGCTCTGTACGAGCAGGTAAAGATGGTGGGAGAAGCTTTGCTGGGCAAGCCAAATGTGAAAGTCTCTCCGATGATCATGGCAGCAGAAGACTTCAGCTTTTACTCTCAGAAAATGGCAGCCTCTTTCTTCGAAATTGGAACGTACAATCACACCCTCAACACAGGGCTGCCTCTCCATTCTCCTTTCTTTGGGATTGACGAGGACGCTCTTCCCATTGGAGCTGCTTTCCATGCTGCTGTTGCTGTCGTCTACCTTAATTCAGTGACGCAAATTTGATGTCTTTCTTCCTCAACTTCCGGTCTATTTTCTTCATCTCCTGGCGAACTCACCATCAGTCCATGCTTGGAGTGAAGAAACCCGATCCTGTGCAAAAATATAAGGTCGCTTTGTATGCCATGTTTTACTTAAAGAATGAAAGATTGAAATCATGGGCAGCGATCTTCATATGTGTTATGTTTCTCTGAATCATATGGTCGGAGTTATCTCCACCTTCGGAAGCCACCTTTTCCATGGTCATACAGGTTCCGCTTCCCTTCCTCTCCTCTTCCGGTCCATATTATTGGATCAAAATTTGAACACTTGAGATTTAATATATTATAAAATTATTATTATAATATTACATAAAAATATAAAAATATTTTATAAACTGATTTTTTTAATTTTTATTTTTGTCACTGCATTGTGCAGGTAATAAAATTGGTTGAATGCTAGTCAAATGAACATTTAACGAGAATTTTTCTTGCCATCTCTTGTTGATCTTGTACATGTTCCCAATTGAAGTGTAACACACTGCTAAGTAGATGGATCGTAGAGATTCCTCATTACTACGCTAACTAGGATCAAAATCTTCTAAAATTTGTTGCCTAAAATTCTGTGAATTTGAGTTAATATTAGCTGTTGATTAGATCAAGTGACATAAAATTCTCATATGACAAAAAATTGGAGACTATTCTTTATGGGTCGCCAATTAGTGACATTGAAGAACATTTTTTCTCCTAATTCTCCCTCACTTCAGGCAATGAAATTCCTAACAGTAGAAGCAGCTTCTGGTTCCTCATGACACAAAAAATCTAATCTATCTATATATATAAATATATAAAATCAGGATTCAAAAGCACATTTGTCAGCATATGGTGCAGCCACGTCAAGTCCATAAAATTCTCCCAAGCCAACACATGTCACCTCTAGTGTAAACCTCAAACAAATTTGGCGTGGGGATGGGACGAAACAAATTCCTGATTGCACATCATGAGATTGATGGAAATATAGTCCTTAATGTAGGGATTAATTTGTGGTGATTTAAATGCGTCAACCAATGGAAATATAATCACTATTGCTGGGGATTTGTGGTGATGGTCAGTCAAAAGCAATCAATCAAATTCACCTTTTGTCTTTATGTGTCGAATTATTTGTGTATTAATTATATATATTTATATTTGTATATGTTATTTGAATTGATTGCTCAAATATTTGATGGACAATAAACAATTTGCAATAAATTGTAAGGTCAACACAAAATGAGGAGGTGAATTTATTTTAAATTAAGTTGAATATACTCTATATGAAACATCCTCTCACCTTATATGCACGTTACGCGAGCTCCATTCAAGTGATTATAGCAAGGTCACTGCTCCCAACCTATCAAATTGCATGTTGCGAGGATGTACGAGGCTTTGTAGAAGGTTCAAAATCAACTACGATAATTGGAAGCTTTAAGTCATCGTGTGTGATGCCAACGTATGATTCTTTTTTCTCCAATTCTATTCTCTATTTGTGTCTCATGTGTGGTCAATATTCTTTATTTTAGATTATTCATTATTCATTTAATTTTCTATCACACTTTGAGGTTTTCCCACACCTGGTGTGAAGAGTTTACATATTCTTTTATAAATTTTCTTGTACAGCAAGTGTTCAACTCCATATCAATCGAGTATCAGCTTTAATGCCAAGAAGATATTGCCTTTTAGTTGTGTAGTAAGGACATTCCTACACCATCATTAATCTTTAAACTTCTATTGAATGTTACTGTCATGCCAGTGATTCAAGCTACACTTATGAGCAATAATATCGCATCTATATTCTTCTATTTGATATTTCAATTCTGTTATTTATGTTAATATAATAATTAAAAATTTTTCATCCAGATGTTTTTGATTCGTATCAAGAATTGGTGAGCATCAATAGATCAAGTATTGTGGCTATTATGTTGATGAGTTCATATTTACAATAATCAATGACTGGTGAGTTGTGCTTTTTAATTTCCTTTGTTTCATGTTCAAAATTTGCATATGATGTTGTTGTTGTTGTTGTGAAAGGTTACTAAATGTGTTTTGATCTTGTTTGCAAGTAGGAATTCATTCAATTGCATCTTTCGTGAGTTTACTGCATAGTGGGCATATAATAAGTACAAGTCCATTGAAGACAAGAGTCATGTCATTATTGTTTTGCAATTTGCCCTTCTTGGCAAGATTAGAGGTGATTTTCTGTGTAACGTTTGAACTAATTTAATTATTCTTTAATTAATTTAATTAATCACATATTGATTACTTATTTTACTTTTTAGACATGGTTGTTTTTAGGAATTACCACAATGTAATTCGTGTGTTATGAAATTTTGACCACCTTAATATAGACTACTTCAAGTGTGCTTGCCGTTGTAAACATTTACTTGAAGATAGTCTTGGTAGTAGTGCATCATCTCACTATTGTCGTATGTCTCTCAGTTGATTTAGTTCTTTATCAAGTGTTTTTAGATATCATTTCATGACATTTTGGTCAAATATTCGGTTTAATGATTCCTCCAATAATTCTTAAAATTAAGTTGATGAAATGCTAATGGTAGATAAATACTATTGTCAAATTATACCCATTTAGTATGTTACCACTCAAAGATTTTCAAGGACATTATTTACTTTACCAAATTCTTCTCTCATCTTTTAGGAGAATTAAATAAGAATATTAATAAAAATATAAAGTCTACACCTTGATTAAATATTCACCCAAAATCTAAATAAATATGCCTATATGTGTACTCAGATTTAGTATAACTATTAATATTAAATACAAAAAAAAAAAAAACAAAGTAAACAGATCCCAACAGGTGGAAATTGGCACTAATTTAGGAATTATGTTTTAGAAAAAATAATGATTAAGTTGACAATTAAACAAAATAAGATATGATAGTTTAATTGGTTTTGATATTATGTTGCTATAAAAGATTATTAAAATGTAGTGATATATTATGATATTAGTGTGCACATTATTTTCAGAAAACTAATTTCTTATAATATGTTTCTCTATTAAATTTGAAAGATTCTTCTCCAAATTTAGGAGATTTATATAAGAATATTAATTTAAAATAGGTTAAAGTATACATTTAATCATTTAATTTTATATAATATTTTATTTTACTTTCCTTAACTTTATAAAGTATAGTTTTAGTCCTTTAATTCTAACATTATTAGTTTTATTCTAATAAAATTTTACATTGAACTTTCGACTATTAATAAAGCATTATCAAATATTAATATATTAAGTTTAATTTTTTTTAAAATAATAATGATTGACATAAAAATAATCATTTAAAATTAATAATATTATAGTTAAAAGACTAAAAAAATACATTACAAAATTAAATGACCAAATTAAAAATTTATATAAAGTTAAAAGATTAAAAGTATACTTTAACCTTAAAAATATAGTGTGCACCGTTTCTAAATATTGACCCCAAATCTAAATTAATAACCTAATAAATGTGTATGTAGATTTATTAACTAATAAATAGGAAAAAAAAAACATGCATTATACCTTAACATAAGAAATTTAAATTCGGACTCTAGAATTTTTTAACAAGTAATCGACATTAATTTCCCAATTTTAAAGTTTAAGATGATATATTTAATAAATAATGCTAGACTTTTAGTACTATAAATAGCAAATTTTATGAGATTAAGATAGTATATTTAATGAATAATAAATATCCAAAATATCTATCAATCAATTATGTGCTTAATAAACTTCTAAATTAATATATCAAATATAAATTTAATGTGTTCAATGTTCACCAAGGAAATAGCTACAATGACATAAAGATAATTGATTAAATCTATAATTAACCAAAAACTGTATGATATATTAATTAGTGCAAGGGATTATGTTGTCAAGATAAATCAATAGAAGGACTTCCTAAACTCACAACCTACTAAATGGGGACACGGTTTTTGTGCCTAATCACATTCTATTTGTGTAACTTTTTAAAGAAAATTGTATAAATGATTGAATACTGTTTTCAAAGTCTAATATCTAATAATAATATTAATAAATATAATTATTAATTAGAGTTTTCTAATTAAGTCACCAACTAAAAATTTTCTTGGGCATCATTTAAATTTGATAGATTCTTCTCCAAGATTTTAGGAAATTTATATAAGAATATTGATTAAAAATATAGTGTGCTTCGTAAATAAATATTGACCCCAAATCTAAATTGGTAACCTAATAAATGTGAATGCAGATTTATTAACTTATAAATAGAAAAAAAATGCATTATACCTTAAAATAAGAAATTTAAATTCAAACTCTAGAATTTTTTAACAGGTAATGAACATTAATTGCCCAATTTCAAAGTTTAAGATAATATATTTAATAAATGATAAATATTTCTTAAAATAAGAATTTTGGGGGTGGACACTGGAATTTTGGCACTATAAATGCCAAGAGATTAAGATAATATATTTAATAAATAACAAGTATCCAAAATATCTATCAACCAATTATATACTTAATAAACTACCAAATTAATATACCAAACATAGACTTAATATATTCAACGTTGACAGGGGAAATAGCTATAATGACGTAAAGATAATTGATTTAAATCTACAATTAACTAAAAAATATATGATATATTAATTAGTGCATATCCACATATGATAAAGGAATTTATCACTAAAATCAGTATTTTAAGTGCAAGAGATCATATTAAAAAAATTTGGATCCACACCATATCAATTAACAATAATTAATATGATCATTAATTTAAAGTTGACATTGCAAATTGTTAAGTTTATACGTGGTAATTTCCCAATGAAGTCATGGCAATTGGTGCGTTGATTACAAATGACAAAGAAACAAATAAATGAAACAAGGATATTTAGTGCAAGAGATTACAAAGATGCACATCCAAACCAATTAATTTAACACTATTTGATTAGGTCATTAATTTATAGTTCACAATTATTGTCATCAAAATATATTCATAAATTGAAGGGTAATCAATGTCAATTAACACTAGGGGTCAACTTGTATTTGTAATGTGACATGAATTTGGATACACATCAAATAAATTCAATTGTCACATGTAATTGATAAAATTTCACCTTTGGAAAAATGTCAATGGCAAAATATAAACCACTATCAAATTAAACCAATTTATTATGTTACCATTCAAAAATTTTCAAGAACATTATTTATTTTACTAGATTCTTCTCTAATCTTTTTGG